AGTAGACATAGTATGTCATTCACAATCAACTAATTTTTTAAAAGACACTGTCTTTATTCATCTTAATAGCTGTTAATAGTTAATTTTGCTTTCTCTTTAAGCAGTAAGAATTCCAAGTTTTAGAAAATGAAAAAAGCTGGAAAGTCAAACCAGCAACCCAGTAAGAAGCAACAAACTTATGTGACTGGTAAATTTGGTTATTACATAAGTTCTAGTGATATAAAAAGTAAATGAGAACTTATTTTTATTTATTTTTGAGACGGGACTTACTCTGTCGCCCGGCTAGAGTGCAGTGGTGTCAGCCTAGCTCACAGCAACCTCAAACTCCTGGGCTCAAACGATTCTCCTGCCTCAGCCTCCCGAGTAGCTGGGACTACAGGTATGCACCACCACACCTGGCTAATTTTTCTATTTCTAGTAGAGATGAGGTCTCGCTCTTTCTCAGGCTGGTCTCGAACTCCAGACCTCAACTGATCCTCCTCCCTTGGCCTTGCAGAGTGCTAGGATTATAGGCATGAGCCACTGCGCCCGGTCAGACAGGTTATTTTAAACTGAAACCTCGAATGGTGACTAGTGATCACAGCTGGATTGAGACTGTCAATGAATAATGACAGTGGCTGCTCTTTTTTCTAGCCCACAGTCTGAGTCCCTGGTCTCTGCTGAAGCTTGCAGGTGAGGGTGGATGGGCTGGCTTAATGTTGAACCTCCATTCCACACTCCTAGCATGTCCTCCTGTAATAAAGTGGAGAGAAAGCTAGAAGCTACGTTCCCCAGACTTTCTTGCAGCTAAGGTTTTGGATGTGATTTAGTTTTGGCCAAGCAGATGCACCTATAGAAGTCTCAAAGAAATTAAGCAGTTTGCACAAGATCACATAGATTAAGAGGGATATTGGAACGTAGAAGCTGAGATCTAACACTGATTTGCCTCTTTGCTAATGTCCAAGTGCCTTAAAACCATCTTAAACTCATCCCTTTTCTTCATTCCCTATTGTCAGTATACAAGCCTGCGAGATGCAGGCTGTGCTAACGCCAGCAAGCAGGGTCATGAATGTGATTTTTCTGAGGCGGTATGCACATATGAGGTTCACAAATGGAAAGAGGAATGGTACAAAGCATGTAGCTGGGTGTGGATTGTAGCTGGTGTGCCAAGTGTTGTAGAGAGCTAGCAGTGATAGCGTGGCTTCCAGGTAATGGCACTCTCCAGATCCTCACAATGTTAGTGTACTTCGGGAGTGGGTGGTTTCCTGAACTTAGAAGCAGCAGCAGCTCTCCTGGTTGGCCTGGTTGAGCAATGTGGCATTGGGAGTCATTCTTCAAAGCTCTCTCAGTTCTCGAAAAATTCTAAACTCAGATTAATATTTCATTAAAAAAAGAAGAGTCTTCTCTTACTTAAACTGGGATTAACTCTGTTCTTTGCTATTGGACCTTAATACGTTAGGCAGTGGCGATGGTTCTGAGAAGGCTGTGAGCACACTGTCAGGAGCTGTGACGGGTCTGAGATTTGACCCTATTTGCAAGCTACCAGTTAGCCTGTCAGTTTCATGGATCCTAATAGAAGACATGAGACTCTGGGGTCAGAGTCAAATGAGTTTGTAACTCACAGCACGGCAAGTAGCATGAGCTTCCCGTTCCTGTCAGTTCCTCTCCCCCCAAGTCCCATGTGGGCAATGGAGAGTGGCCCAAGTGAGTGCCGAGCACACAGCGGGTTTGTATCTCAGGTGAAGAACCTCAAGTTCAGGGAACCCAAATCTTTTATAATCTTTTAACCTGGAGGGAGACATTATCTTTATTATACTCGATAGTAAACAAACCTGCCTTCCTCTAAGGGAGACACCCTCTTCCAAGGCTGTTCACTATACAAATATACTTAAAAAAGATAGTCCAGAACAAAAGGTGGCAGAGCCTCTGCTCATAAGATGTATAGAAAGGCAAGAGACCCAGAGAGAATTGTTTCCTAACAGACATTAGTCAACTTTTCATTTCAACTATAGTCACTCTTGTTTTAGAGCCCAAGACCAGGTTTTATCTTTTAAAAATATACTTTAATCTAGTCATGGAATTTAACAAACATTTGTATACAATTAGAGACTAATTTTTAGTATGCTTTCTATTCATTTCACAGCCATGAGAAAACACCATAGCAATCATTAAAAATATCCATCCATAAATTACTTTTATTTCTCATTAAATGAGCACAGAGTCATTAGCATATTAATAATAGATATGTTTATTATTACATATCCATCAGTGCGGCTTTCAATACCACTTGAAACATGCATGTCATCCTAGAGACGATCAGTTTTCCAGTGCTTCTTATTTGATACACATTACTGCAAAGCCATTATAAATTACTGAGGAGGTATTTGGTTAAAAAAAAAACAATAAATCATACTGCCATATGAATCAACTCTTGTTACTGGACAAGAGTTTAACAGTATTTATCTGATAATTCCTATGTTAACTGGAAAACATCACAAATGTATTGCCATAATTTTCTTTTTATATTGGTGCAACCTTCTACATTTTTTTGCTGATAGTTTTATAAAGTCATTATAGCAGGTAGTTTGATGCAAAGATTGTACTCAATTTATGAAAGTCCAACAAACTTCTAAATATTTTAAATTAAACCAATTATCAATGAAAACCCACGGACACACATAATTTTTTGAAAATATGTTTTTAGAAATTTCTATACTTACTCATGGCAGTAAAATAATTCTCTCAAATTAAGGCACTAAAAGGGCAATGCAATTCCCATTGAAAGTGTTCTAAGAATAATTTACATTTCAAACAGTGCATACATTTCTTATATGTTTGTTAACTTAATGTCTTTATCACTTAAAAACCACAAAGAAATACATTATACAATTACAGAAATGATGTACCCCACAAAATGCTTTTAAACTTGGTTCTTTTGTACAGTTAGTTCCTAATGTCTCTAGTAGTAAAATAACTCAATATGGCTTGGCAAAAATGCATAGATTAAATGTAATTTTTTTTGTCTTCTCCCACTCCCCCAACTTGCTGAAACATACACAGTATTTTGTAAAGCATAATGTAAGATACTTAATTTCTCCATCAAGTCCACCATGGGCAATCAACAGTAAGGCTTTTAAATTCTACAGTGAGGGCACTGAAGTTCAAGTGATGTCACTGCTTTCCTAAAATAATTTTGTATAGTCTTGCAAGAGCACAGAAACTTAAGTCATTAAAAAAAAAACTTCAATTTGTCTCATTTTGAGATATTTTCATTACTCCTTCCATGAGCTGATCTTGATAGTGATGGCCATTCCACTTGAAAGTGAAAGTCCCTTCCTCTCACTCGTATGAGGAAAACTCTGTTCTATCACGATTGACAGGCATTTTCTTAGAAATTCAAAAAGGCAACACCTTTTTAAAAAAATATATCTACCTAAGCTTCCCCCCAATTGTACTTGCATTACATAGTAATAATTAATCTAATCTACCTGTAGGCAAACCCGCAATTAAAAAAAAAAACTCTCAGTGTGTTGTGCCAAAGCAAGGACAGAATAACAGCAATCTTAACCCTGAAGCCTGTGATATTTGTGTCAAAGAAATAGCCTGTCTGATCTGCATGGTTAAAGAAGCCTGGTTTTTCAGGTAGCATCCCACACGATTCCACAAGACACTAGGTCGCATGGTTAACTGTTGGGAGAATAAAAAGAGAAAAAAACTGTTAATTCAAGAAATGCACTCGGTTTAAAAATATAAGAAACAAAAATGGAAAGGAAAGGTAAATGTGTATTACCTTTATATACAATAACTAAAAATTACACAAAATTTGGAAAACAGGGAAAAGGAAAAATATACTTAGTATTAGCTCTTTTTTGTTTCTACTCTTTTTCAAACACATTTTCTTACTCATCTATTATCCTACTTTAAATCATTTTAGATCCAGCTTATACCCTATGCCCAGGGGAAAGCTGAAAGAGCATTCTACACAATTAAATCATGAGTGAGGTGATAACACACCAAAGCAGTACGGTGGCTGAGGACTACAGAAGAAGGAAAGGATAGGAGTCACTTCCAAGAATTAGACTTGGTTAGTGACAATAGGGAATGAAAAAAGGGGATGAGTTTAAGATGGTTTTAAGGTGCTTGAAAGATGTGGGTGACATTAGCAAAGAGGTAAATCAGTGTTAGGTCTCAGCTTCTACATTCCAGTAGCCCCCTTAATCTGTGTGATCTTGTGCAAACTGCTTAATTTCTCTGAGCCTCATTTAGTCATATGTAAAACGAGAACTTAATGAGAGTTTATAAATTCTCTCCAAGAAAGGGTTTAGTTGTAATTATGTATCATAGCATATATTTCTGGAAAAAATTCCATCAAAAAGTTATCCCCTCCCTCAAAAAGGACTTAACTAGGAAGTTTATTTGTAATAATATAGTCACTGATAATATAAATAATTTTGATTTTTCTAGAAAAACTATGCCAACATAGTTAAAAATAAAGTTAAAATAAAGAAAATATAATCAAAGTTTTGTGAATCTATTTGCATTAAAAAAGACTAACTAAAAGTTGGTTAAAATATTAACAGCTAAATATATGGCATTTATACCAACTTATGACAATAAAATTCAACATTGAACTAAATCAATATCACATTATATTTAGTAGTATTATTAATTTCTAATGGGAATTGGTTTAACTAATTTATGAAGTCACATGTAAAAACCAAGCTACAAATGATGTCCTCTTTGGTAAAAAGAACGATTAGATTTCTGATTTTAATAGATGTTATCCAATCATTTTCACATTGTTAATAACAACTCAATCCTTACCTAGTTTTTCCAGATGTATTTTTCACCACTTTCCGGAAAGACTGATTTGCAGTGGATCTTGTAGAAAGAGTTCGAGGGGAGGCACGAACAAAACCAGATGGTGGATTCTTAGGGATTTTCTTTACTAAGTGAGTTACCCATTTTTTCTGTTCATCCTGAGAACATGCTAATAGCAGCATATCTCTTGCCGATGTTACATCATAACTTACTATGTTAAGGGGAAAAAAAAGCACAATTAAAGTCATATAATATTTTAAAAAACTCTAGCAAATGTACAATTTTTCAAGTTCTTAAAGTTATAAAAGTTTTATTATGCTTAATAAGCTTCGACAGTATCTCTCCCTAATTAAGACTGAAATTTTAAAAGAAAACAGTAGTCATAAACTAAAGAGAGAAATAAAGAAAAATCAGAAATACAAAAGAAAAAGGCATAAGACAGATAAATGTATTTAAAGAACATAAATTTCTTATCCTAAAATAGCTACAGTGTATTCTTCAAGTTACCTCTATAATCTAGAAGACATTTATCTATGATATAGCATGCTAGTCCAGGCAGTGAAAGCCAAACAAAAAAGGAAAACATGCAGGAGGTAAAAACTCAAGGGGGGAATACACTGGAGCTTACCTACAACTCTTCTCTCCAACTTAGAATAATTTCTTAGTGGCATTTTTTTTTTTTTTACAAGGGGATGATTCTCTTTAAAAACATTATGTTCAAAGCTAAATCTGCAGTTGTGAAATAACAGATGCATATTGCTTCACCAGTATCAAAATATTACTTCTTTTCTCTGTTTTTTTTTAATGAGTAAGGGTTTCATTTTGTTGCCCATGCTGGAGTGCAATGGTGTGATCATAGAACACTGTAACCTTGAACTTCTGACCTCAAGTGATCCTCCCACCTCAGCCTCCCAAATCACTGGAATTACAGGTAAAAGCCGCTGTGATGGCCCAAAATATATATATTTTTTTGAGACAGAATCTCATTCTGTTTGCCCAGGCTAGAGTGCTGTGGCATCAGCCTAGCTCACAGTAACCTCAAACTCCTGGGCTCAAGGATCCTCCTGCCTTAGCCCCCCAAGTAGCTGGGACTTCAGGCGCACACTAGAATGCCTGGCTAATTTTTTCTATTTTTAGTAGAGATGGGGTCTGATTTTGCTCAGGCTGGTCTGAAACTCCTGACCTCAAGCAATCCTCCCGCCTCGGCCTCCAAGAGTGCTAGGATTACAGCATGAGGCACTGTACCGGCCCCAAAATATTATTTCTTATAACCTGTTTTCAACTTGGTATAGATGATTACACTTGAAATTATTTCACTGGGACTTAAAACTAAGTGTAAGTTGTAAAAATAATCATTATTCCTTACCTTTACATGGAGAAATTAAGTCTTCTTTCTTATCTAAGTGATCTCTGTGGCACTTAACATGGCATCTTCGACACTCTAGGGCTGGTGGTGGCTTAAAAACATGCCAGAGAGGTTTGGCACAGGCCTCACAATTGGCGGGAAAGTGGTAAAGGGTAGGAATGAACTCATGGCCTTTGTGATTTTGGAAATTAGTTTTCTCAGCTTGTTGTACTGGTTCCATCTCTACATCTTTTCTACATTCACCTTCATTTGCATATAGTATCTGCATTCAGGAATGGTGAAAGGAAGAAGATAAAAAAGCTCTTAAATCTGTACATAAAAATTTCAAATATAAA